TGTGCACAACTGGTAACGTGTCGCAAATCATTTTTTTTGTCTTTGCTATTACGTAAAATACAGAAAAACACACCTAAGGGTGGGTTTGCGGTTTGCTGCTACGTAACCTTTCAGAGCAGCAGCTGTTCCCAACAGAATTCAAGTCCGCAACAGAGCTGCCTATGAGTTGGATGTACGCCCTCGTGGGATTGCTGATTGTACTTGTGCGCGATCATACTAGTCAGGGGATAGCAGAGTATTTGTGTAGATAGAAAAATACAACGAAGGCTACGTAGCACTATTTACATGACAGTTCAGCGTTCGTGCCCGACTATGTCCACCAGGCGGCATGGTGGGTGTGGGGAAGATGACTTGCGCGTGGATACGTTTATAATGGTAGTAGTAGACCTTCGTGACATCTACCACACTCTCCCCTCCTTCCTCGCCCACCTGAGTTCGGTGTCATGAGAGAGTCACGATGACCGGAACTACGATCGAGTGCAGTAGCTGACAAAACTAAACGGCCCACCTACGCGTACCGCACATGCCTGTTCCGCCCGCACTGGACCAAGATTTCACACGGATAAAGGGGGGGGGGAGGGGTGGCCACGGCTTTTAACGCAGCGTGGTACATTCACGCGCGTCAGATTCCTGATAGTGAGGAATGCGCTGAATTGCTATTTGGCAGAAATTTTAAAAAAATAAAGTCACAAACAACATCAATTATATAAATGTAAAGTACAATCTTACTAGCCTGCACAGTCTTATTATTTATCGATAACTCGAAAGTGTTGGACAGGGAAATAAGTATCCCCCCACTATAGGTGGCCTTGCGCTAAATTGCGGGGAGTACGTATCACCGTGCCTTAACAGTATCTCCCCGGGCTTGTGGGATTAGACGAAACCCATGAAGGAACGGAACAGGAAACGGCCAGTGTCATAAGATGATATCGAAACGACCAGACCAAAATCCTTACGAAAGTTTTAATGTACGGTACCAAAATGAGATAAAAACACACCATCTGAGATTGAGGGGCCGTCTTCATGTTGATAGCTGCAACTACAGCCCGATGGATGATGTGTACCACCAGGGCAAGGCTCTCCTCCGTAACAAGTGGGTCACCGTACGCGTACTAGAAACCACCAAAAAAGAAAAAAAAATCATATCAGCAGCCAGTTAAACGAAATGTTATTAAAGGTGCATTGTATAAAAGAGCAAAATATAAGCGGTAGTAATCAATGAGCTACCAAAATTTGCATAAGCGGTTCTATAAATAACATAATGCTCAAGTGAGCCCCGGCTTGCTGCCACTAAACCCAGCTAAGGCGATCGGCTGTTAATGGTCAAACCAATCAAAAAACGGACAATTTACCAAACTCAGAAGGCAGAAGAGAAGGTAGTGCAGATGCCGACTATGCAGAACGTTGTCCAAATCTTCAAATTGCGGTGGAAGAGTACTGGGCAGACGATAGGGCGGCCACAACATGGCAGTGTTCTGCGCTTTCTCCGATTGACGACAACTCAAAAGGGAAGAAGTGGATAGCAAAAAAAACGTCAACCGAAGGTTCTCGTTTACGGCGGGGGGGGACGCGCTTATGCGAAATTACAGGAGAGTAATGTTGAGGCAGTAAAAAAGAACGATCAGAGACTTACTACTGGCGATACTTATCCATAGCAGCAGCAATTTCTCTTCTGCTGGATATGCGTAGGGAATAGAAGACGGGATCAAACTTTTCGTGCCATAACTCGGGGCGTAGGAAGTAGTGTCCGCTCACCAGACTGCCGGATGCGTTGTCACAGGAGGGTGCAGCATAGTTGGCGACCTGAAGAGGACACAGAAGCTGACTAGTCAATTTAGTAACATAACACGCAGTCCATTCGCAGCATCAGTAAAGTGCCATTTGAAACAGAGCCTGAAACTTGACAAGGTCAGATGTGATTATAAAAAATGGCAGAAAAACGTCAGGCCTGAATTGCAGGCATTGAAAACGCAAGAGTGTGGTTGGCTTTGAGCAAATGCTATTACTTGGTAGGCTTTAAGTCAAGGAAAAAGGGCATAATTGAGTGGGGGAGAATGAGTGTTCTTATCATTAGACACCAACCTGCATCCCTGTTTTTCTATCCACTAACGTTATATGATGGAATTTGACATATCAGATTTGCCTAAGCGGTTAAAACAGTTGACGCAATGAACGAGGATCAGTAGAACTGCACAGAAAATCCAATAAGGAAAGCTGCGGGACAGGGCAGGACAGCACTTCATAAACACAGTTGAAGTATTTCATGCATGCAAGGAGGGTCCAATGGGACATTTCGCTGAGTCTCGAGAGTAAGATTTCCGGTTACAGCAGAAACATCGACAGCAAAGAGGTGTTGCAGAATCAGCTTCCTGCCGCTGGCCATCGATGGAAAGAAGTACGTCACCAAGTATTAGCAGCAAGTGTCAGAGATGGCGCCGATTAAAAAAGTCCGGGTAGGTACTTTTCATACGCCAGCCCTCGCTCCCTCCCCCCC